GTTTCATTAGGATAAAGAGCATTCATAATTTCATCATCTAATCTTTCACCTGGTGCAACATTATGGTAAAATTCTCTATCGATAAATTGAAAACAAGGGTGATCACTATCAAGAATTAAAGAAGGAGGAGGACGTCTAGGTTGGCGACTACTTTCAACTTGCTTATCTTTTCTAGGTCGGGGAGCCGGGGGAAGGGTAGTTGGTTGGCCACTACTTTCACCGGTTTTATCTATTCCTTTACCAAACATTTTTTTCAAAGAAATGCATATTAATTATAATTATGCAATCTAAACCACACAAAAATATATTCTTAAAACGTAAGAGTTGAAACGAGTTTACCGGATTGCCGAACAACTTCTTGAATATTGAAAATCGTTGAACACTTGAAAACTTCAATTCAACAACTTCACAATTTTTCACGAAATTTCAACAATAGATTAAGTAATTGTAGTAGAGAGATTGAGAGATATTGATGAATTAGTGAATAAAAATGAAAGAATGAGGGAGTATTTATAGTTGAGAAATAGGGAAAAGTGTAATTATATAAAGTTTGGGGTTAAAATAAAGTTTGGGGGCCAAATGACCATTTTCTAAACTACCAAACGGTCAAAAAAAGCCCCAAACGGCTACTTTTTAAATATGGCCGTTGGGCTGTTTTTAAAAAAAAAAAAAAAAATTATAATTATAGCCGTTAGGCCCGGACCAGGCCCGCCAGCCGGTCCCGGGCTAAACGGTCCCGGGCTCGTGGGCTTACCAAAGAAGACCAGCCCGCCTCGGGCTTTAAGAGACCACCAGGACCGGCCCACCAGGCCCGTGAGGCCCGTTAAGACCGCGGGCCCGGTCCAGTTCGGGACCGGCCCACAGTGCAGCATTAAACCTGAATTTATTCATCTCTGACTTTCTGCTGGCTTTGACTTGGTATATCTGCTACTCGAACTCAAAAACTATACTTGTGTCTAAGTAGTCATCGCTAGCAGTAGTACTCTCTCCATTTTATTTATAAGGCGGTGTTTGATAGGCATGGAGTTGAAGAAAGATAGATAGACTTTCGACACATACCAAAAGTATCCTTAGTACTTGTGGTGTTAACATGGCATATGACATTTCTATGGCTTTAAGAGCATGTTATAAAGGTAAAATGGAAACTATAAAAGTTGAAAGTACCATTCTTTTGGAACAGACTAAAGAGGAAAGAGTATCATATAAAATGAAACATAGGCAGTAATAATCAGTTATTGTGGTGGCAATCTTAGTAGCTTTATTGTTGTTATCGTCCCTTGCTATTCTTTTTAGCGTACATATAACAAATCAATCCGACAACTTCTGTTCTAGTATTAAAGTGATCATCGTCGTCCTGTGTTGCAGATCTTGAGAGTGCTTATGACAATCTTGGACACATCAAGTGATGCAAGGACACTCGCTGTCGCTTGCTACGATTTGTCTCAGTTCATTCAATGCCATCCTGCCGGGCGAATCATAGTGGCCGACCTCAAAGCTAAGGAACGCGTAATGAAACTATTGAACCATGAAACTGCAGAGGTCACGAAAAATGCATTGCTTTGCATCCAGAGGCTTTTCTTAGGTGCCAAATATGCCAGCTTTTTGCAGGCTTAAATTATCTTCATTTGGCTTCATTCTTCAGACAAAACTATACATATCTTGTTATTTTCTTAGGTCATGTTCTATTTATTCATTTTATCTTATTGTTTAATGGGATTGGGTCTCTATTTTTTCAAGGTAGAAGTAAGGTCTGCGTACGTACTACCTTCCCCAAATCCCGCTCTTGAGACTACACTGAGTTTATTGTTGTTCTTTAATGTGATTGGAGCGACATTGACAGTGAGAATTCATATAGCCGATCCCAGCTTATTTTGAGACTGTAGCGTGCTTATTGTTTTGATGAGTTCTCACTCAGAATAATTCCTTATTCTATCCAATAAATCAATTTTTTCTACCATTTATTCAAGGGGTATGGTTCAGCATCGCTTGCAAAATAGTTTCTTCACATATATACATATCTAAATACTACAATTTTTTTCTAATAAATAATGTGTGTTTATTAATATGTCAACATCACCTGAAAATAATACAGAACAAATATTAATTTAGAACGAGTAAAACCTTAAATTAAACCACCATACTTTCAAGGCCAAAACTTACAAGATAATTGTATCAATAGACCGATATTATTTTTGCAAAATTCTACGTACGCCACTTGAAATTCCAACAACCCCATATACATACCAAACTAACAGGGAAAAAACATAGCCAAAATTGTACAAAAATATATTTTTGGACAAAATAAACTTTCACTATCTCAAGTAAATAATTTCTTCTTTGACCATTCAGCGCAAAATACATCCAAATCTACCAAAAGCAGTCAGTTGAGGTAATTGATCTAAAAAGGACATGTGGCATTCTATGAGCCACTTACAGCTCAATGACATAAAGTACAATGTTGGAAACTTTTGATGACAGTAACACCATATCTCTAAATGATTTTATTTGTAGTTTTATTTGGCGGAGAATGGTTAAAACGATAACGAAAATTGAACCGACACCTATTGTATGAAAAATTATTACCGATATCACTAAATTATAAGTATTAACGGTTGTGAAATTATTTTGAGTTTAACTATACACACTTACAATTAAAAAGAACTTTTATATTATCAAGTTCCTAAGTGATAACTATAACTTACCATCCATAAAACTAGGGTTAGTAACGATACAACCTAGGGAGAATCAAAAGCTTGAGGTGGGGAAAGCCCAAGACTATATAACTCATATCGGCATATTGCAATACCGATGTGGGACTCAAATCTGTACCTTGCAGTGGACCATAACAAACCATCACGCTTTGCATCTGTCGTCCTCGAGGCTGTGCGCTAGACCTTTCTAGCCTCAGGCAAACACTGCAATACTGGCGTACCATCCATGGCACGGTGGGCACAGCGTGTGGTGGATGGATCTGATACCATTGATGCAACCCAGAGAAAACCACATTTCAGAAGCTAGTTATTAAGGTGGTAGAGACCAAGGCCATATAACCCTACATCAACGTTGTAATATCGAATATGGGACTCAAGTCCATACCTTGCAATGGACCATATATAACAAATAACTTAGAAAAATAAAGTTACTTGTTACAATTAATGGTTAAAACTTAAAATATTGTACAATCAGTGTATATTTTGTCCTATCATTCTGGTTAGATGATTTAGGAGGGAAATATCTCATCCATACAATTAATACCAAAAGTAAACACCAGCACTAACTGCTAAAAATGATTTTAAACATTATGATTAAGACTACTGAATCAATTTAAGCCTTGGCAATGCATGGCTAGCTAGCTTCATAATCCAATATTCCAGACTCCTATATAAATTTCATACCATATAATATCTTTCTTATAAAGTCACTGACAATCCAACATATCCTCAAAACACCAGTTTAATTCATCTAACTTCTTCAATCCAAAAATGGCGAATGCTCGTATTGCAAAGTTTGTTCTTGAAACAGCACCACCACAATTTGTGACTGTCATGAGAAATCGAGCATCGAAGATGTTAGAGACGATCAAAGAAGACGATAGAGAAGTGGCTAGCTCGAACGAGTCATCAATTTCTTCGAATTATTCGAGTTCATGTTCAAAATCTATGAATTCTAAGTATTTTCTTAAGAAAGTTCAAAGGTCTTTTCCTTTATTTGGAACTAAAGCCTCTTCTTAGGTTCTTTATATTAATGTTCAGGGTTTAGGGTTCAAGGTTTAGGGTCTTTGTATTAATGTTAGTTCCGATGTCCGCAGAACTTGGATAGAGTCCAAGATTTGCTGAGACTAGATAAATGTTGATGAAATGTAACTAAAGAGAAAAGTGAAATCAGTCCATATGAGTATTGGTTGTTGTATGGTAGTTTTATAATGTATTGTATACAAAAATAACATAACCTATGTTATGTGATCTCATAAGTGAGGTCTGAGGAGGATAGGATGTACGCATACCTTATCCTTATCTTGTGTGACGTAGAAAAGTTATTTCCAATAATATTGTATCGTATATATCTATCCAAAATCAGTCATAGTGAAGCGAGATATATGTTATTCCGTATTTTCATTATTATTCTCTTTGCAAGATATTTGGTTGAAGTTTGAAAAACGATAAAATATTTGAAGTTAAAGTAGAAAAAATGAGTATTTAAAAGTTGAGTTGTGCTTGAATAGAGATTTTTCATTACGAAGAATATTTTTAACCTTAGTCAAAAATAAATGAATAAATTCAGACCTTTTTTCGAAGTATTTTAACACGTGTCAAGATTTTGATCGACTTCAAAGCTCACAGTTCAATTAGAGCTCCATTACATGATGATTTGCTAACAACATGGGTTCAAATAGCCCCAATGTAAACGAAGGTAAAATTAAATTATTTCGTACATTAAAAGGGGTGAATTTGAAAAGGAAAAAAGAAATTGTCCTCACTTAGCTTTAGTCACAATTTGATGCAAACACTAGATGCGGATTTTATTTGGTTACCTTTGGGTTGCCTAAACAAACACTTGAATCTAGGAATACATTTTTTGAAATATAATTAAAAAAACAGTCATAAAATAAAAAGAATTTTTTGATCTGAAAAATCTCATTAGAGGAAAGAAAAATTCATTTCTTTTACTCTTCTTCCCTATCTGATTATCTTCCTCTATTGGGGTTTTTCTATTTTCTTTTATATCCTTTATCAAGATTCACATATCTTTGAATCCTGTTATGTTTTTTTTGTTATTTTAAAAAAGAAAAACTTTTTATTGCTTGCTTCCCTTAATAAAAATTCCTCTTTGTATCTTGTCAATTCTGTAATTCCTTGAAAGAATTCATATATGGAGGTTTCTTCAAGCCTGAAAATGATGACTTTGGAATATTCTCAATTATTTTCTTTGAATACTTAAGTAATTTTGTATGTTATATAAATGTAAATATTTTAGACATTTCTTGTTGGATAGTATTAAGTTGATCAAAACCCAAACATGGATTTATTATGATCATGATAAAAATTGAATCTTTGGAGCATTAACTGCAATTGGATCCATTTTTTGATGCCTGGATTCATATTAATAGTATCAATTATCAATCATTTTTGTTTGGTATAATTTCCTAAATGATTCTCTTATTATAGACACAAGCAAGATTATTATTACATTTTTTTGTTACTGTTGTTACTGCTTGTTGATACTGCTCATTTTCGTTTTGTCCTTGAGACGAGGGTCCCCAGAAACAGCCTCTCTACCTTCACAGGGTAGCGGTAAGGTCTGCGTACATACTACCCTCCCCAGACTCCACTTGTGAGCCTCTCTACCTTCACAGGATAAGAATAAGGTCTGCTCAGACCTCACTTGTGGGACTATACTGCGTATGTTGTTGTAGTATGTTTGATGTTTGAAATTGGCATGGCAATGTCTAAAATCGACGTCAAATCGTTACAAGAAACACTTTATGTTCAAGAACAACTTATAGAGAAGCTTTATAATGAGTTGGATGAAGAAAGTGAAGCCTCAGCTAGTGCTGCAAGTGAAGCATTGTCCATGATTTTACGTCTTCAAGGCGAAAAGGCTGCAGAGGAAATGGAAGCAGAACAGTATAAAAGATTTGTGGAGGAAAAAATGTGCCATGCAGATGAGTCATTATCCATTTTTCAAGATCTTATTAATCAAAAAGAGATGGAAATAGTTGCTTTAGATTATCAAACACAAGCTTATCGATATAAGTTATTAAGTATAGGCTGTGATGATATTGAATTTAATGAGGATTTGTTTCATAAGAATGAAAGTTTTGATCAAGAAATGAGTGTTCAAGCTATTGGGAGGTGTAAATCAGCTCCAAATATTCCACAGAAATATGCTAATCAGATAAAGGGAATTCTTGATAAAGATGAATATATCAGTCAAGAACGCGATTTGAATGATACTTCAATGGATGGAAGTATAGATTTATACTGTGAGAAGATTGAACAGTTGGAAGAAAGAGTTAAACAGATTGCTGGTGCTAACTATGCGAAATCGTGCAGTAGTGAAATGAGGTCACATTTACCACTTTCTAAAAGGAACTATTGTAACAATTTCCTCGACGTTTACCAAGTTAAGCATCGAGGAAATAAATCAGACAATGGAACGTCTGTTCGTTCTGCTTCTCCTCCGAAGGTTCTTGATGTATTTGAAGTCCCTCGAGCTATTAAAGACGACGATAAGATGATTTGGCAGAGTGATGAAAGGGTTGAAAAACAAGATTTTGTCCCAAAAGAGGCTGCAAAACAACTTGTTAAAGATCAAACTGATTGCCTTAAGAAATATTTAGTACCTATGCAGCATGAGAACAAGTTACATAAAGTAGGTGAAGCTGCTGCAGTCGACTGTCATTTGGCGATTTGCGCTACAACTAGTGCTTCAGAAACAGAAGAGATTCGTCGTCTCAATAGGACGTTTGAGATAGCTGAAGTTGAGGTACAAGGAACAAGGCAAGAATCCGACAGATACGAAGAACTAATGTTGTTACATGATATTAAGGAGCAAATAAATTTGATGCAATCTGAAATTAGAAGTTGGAAAAATAAGAAATCCCCTACAAGAGATGAGTTATCTGTAGTTTCTCTAACAGAGGTATTACTCTCTTTTTTTTTTTTTTTTGTGTATATATTTTGCTTGCAATAAGTCTGTATATATGTGAAAATCTTGACAATTTGTTAAAATGGTGGACAGGTGATGGTTTGCTTTTGGCTCTGATATCAGCTATCAAAAAGCTTTCAAATAGTGGTCCGACCCTTTCTCGGACACCGTGCATAACGGGAGTTTAGTGCACCGGGCTACTCTTTTATTCAAGATGTTGAAATTTGTACTTATTATGCCTTTTTTGAATATTGAAAAAGTCTTTTTGGCATTTTTACAAGAATGGCCAAAGAATTGATCATTAGTGGCTTGTAAATGTTGTATGTTCCATGAATCTGCAACGACTTAATTTACCACATCAAGAACATGATATCAACATGATATTTTGCTTTGAATTTCTCTCTATCTTCTTGTGAGTTTTGGTTGTAAGTTATCTCTGCTGCAGTTTGTAGTTTAAGCTAGAATATTTGTACTCACTAGATAGATAGATAGATATATGCTTTGGATTGGATCTTCACTGGTGCTTCTCTTGAATTATCTGATCATCTCATCGAAAAACTCAACATGTTACACAGTAAACATTTTCTTTTTACTATTTCTTACTATGCTCCTTCATCGTGTGGATCTGATTCTTTTTCTTGCATCAAGCATGTTGAAATACTTTTTGATGATGTTCATCTCATTGAAGAAGTATTAGGCATGTGCCTAATAAAAGTTTCTTTGGTTTGGTAGCCAACCTTGTTGACTTGGTTTGGTTAGGTAGCCAACCTTGTTGAATTAGTTTGGTTTGGTAGCCAACCTTGTTGAATTTCTTTGGTTTGGTAGCCAACTTTGTTGAATTGTGAAAAGTGTGTGTAAATTGTCAAATATTGTAGGCTTTAGAGAGTGAAGCTTTGGCTATAAAAGGAGATCTTAAACTCTCATTTCTTCACACCAACAAAGAGAGAAAGAAAGAGTGAGGTTTCATAGACAGGGTATAAGAAAATAGTATGTGAGGAAAATAGAGAGTGAGCGATATTGTAGTGAGGTGGAAATATCAAAAGAGGGTTATTTCTTTTGAGTGTTGTAGTGGTCTTTGGAGTATTTTACTCCGACTTACAAAGTGTAAAATTCCTTACTATAGTGATATCAGTTGCTCCTCTCGGGGCCGTGGTTTTTTCTTATTAAAAGGGTTTTCCACGTAAAAATCTTGGTGTCGTTGTTACTCTTTTATTCTTGTTAATACCGTATCTCGGTGCTACATTATTATTCCGCTTTTATTATCGCAAATATTATTTCTATGGGGGTTTATTCCCAAAAACTGGTATCAGAGCACAGATTCTGCTCGTTCACTGAAATACTATTTACTATCGATAGTACTATACTCGGTGAAAAATAAAAAAGTCCGAAGTAAAGTACGAGGTAGCAAAATTCAACGGAGATAATGGTTTGTCAACATGGCAAAGAAGGATGAGGGATCTGCTCATCCAATAAGGATTACATAAGGTACTAGATGTTGATGCCAAAAAGCCTGATACCATGAAAGCTGAGGATTGGGCTGACTTGGATGAAAGAGCTGCTAGTGCAATCAGGTTGCACTTATCAGATGATGTGGTGAATAACATCATTGATGAAGACACTGCACGTGGAATTTGGACAAGGTTGGAAAGCCTATACATGTCCAAAATGCTGACAAATAAATTGTACCTGAAGAAGCAATTATACGCCTTACACATGGATGAAGGTATGAATTTTTTGTCACATTTAAATGTGTTTAACGGACTAATCACACAACTTGCCAACCTCGGAGTGAAAATCAAGGAAGAAGATAAAGTCATCTTGCTATTGAACTCGTTGCCATCTTCGTACGATAATTTGGCAACAATCATCCTGCACGGTAAGACTGCTATTGAGCTGAAAGATGTCACATCGGCTTTTTTACTCAATGAGAAGATGAGAAAGAAGCCTGAAAATCAAG